CTATAGATACGTGGTAGGGATTTTCTTTTCCGAGTATCTCGGTGATTAGCTCGTCACCATCAGTCCACTCTATTGCACCTGCACCCCAGTCTTCTTTCGTTTGGCGTATTTGGCTTTAGTGGCTGACGACAAGTCCTCCCATTTCTTTTTAAGTTGTTCCTTGGTTCTTGGTGGGAACCAGTGTAGGAGATAAAGTACCGAATAGAGTCATCTTTCTCCTTTTTACCTCATGGAGAAAAAAATTGTGATTTTATCCGTCTTAAAATTCGGCGCTCTTTTTCAGGGGTTAGAGCCTTGCTCATCTTCAGAATTCCGTTTCATTGACATCCTAGAAATGTAGAAATGTTTTTCTAAACGATGAAGAAGAAGAAGCTACGGGCGACAGCAGCAATGCTGATGAAGGGTACCAAGACGACATTAATGAAACTGAAGAGGGTCGAAAAAAACGTTAGGAATTTGCTCGTTCGTTTTTGTTTTTGTTTTTTGTTTTTTTTTTCACAATCCTTATAATCTATTAAAGCTGATGACAGTTTTTAAATAATTTCAAATCATTCAGCAAAGAAGATTGACATTTTAATATCCTATGAGTGCAACTTATCAAGTCCGATGACTTTCATTGAAATACGTTTGCATGCCATCGTTATTTTACAAGAATATTTACTGATAATGTTTGTTGCATTCTACTTTTTTTCTGAAGGAGGACTTTAAATAAAGTGAACATCAGAGGTTAACAAAGCGCATTAGAACGGAATTACTTAAATAAAAAACTTTTTTTTCACTTCTCAGTAAAAGATCTCGTTAACTTTAGTAGAAACAGTAAGGATACGGGACCTACATAGGTCCCGTAAATTTACGTGCTATTTTTCCCGGAAAAAACGTTTTATGCAACACCCGCAATTTCTGTTGCATAAATGACACTTAAGTGAACACTTACGAAAATCGTAAGTGCAGTCACTTAAGTGAAATCCCTAAGTGGACCACGTAAGTATTTTTATGCAACTCACTTAAGTTACGAGTACACGTACGTATACCCGTAACTGTTACGGGCGTTTTATGCAACCGGGCCCTGGTAAGTATGCGTTTACATTTTAATGAAAAGCATTCACTTTAGATCTAGATTTGGGATTCAAAATCCCCTGAGACCTGATCAAACCGGGTCGTTTTTATTTTGGATTCACTCATCTGCGTCCAAACGATAAAACGAAATCCTGTACCAATAATTTCCGGATTCGAAATCACTTCTAGTATAAATGTAGCCTAAACTGTTAACCCTTTGCGTCCTGAGTACATGCATATTATTTTTGTAACCTTTGGCTATAAATAGTCAAAAACGCGTAATTTTTGCTGCGTCACATTTTTGCCATATGTTTGTCAAATGCGAGGAATGTCACGCAAGTTAACGGTCGGGATTCGTTTAGCGGTTTCATGGACTTGACTGTTGCAGCTTCATGGCTTTTTCGGAACCACTTTCCTCTGCAGAAGCGCCCATGCTGGCATCATTAAGCTGGAATGGGGGGCAATGAATGGATGACGTAAATGAAACCTGAGTTTGCGTGCCGAAGCAAAAGCCGCAGGCTCAACCTCCATACGGCAAGATGGTCATTGAGTATTGATGACGTAACTGACAGTTAAAAGGGTAGCTGGTGAAACACCGTGGTTACAGATGACTGCCCTCAACAAGGAAATCAATCTCTTGTGCATAGCGAAGTGATTTAAACAGCTCTCTTCGGGATGTATTAGGTTTGATGTCCTTTCCTACTTTTACTGAGACGAAATTGAAGGATCGGTCAATCATCGTTGTATATTGCCCTGCAAAATTTATCAAACTTGGGACAAGAAAAATTCCTTTACATTCAAAGTAACTACATGGCAATTTTTTCTTCCGCCGGTCGATATTCGAGTTCGTCTGTTCAAATTCTGCGGATATACAAGTGGCTGAAACAACGCTGAACTACTTATACATAAGATCATAGAGCAACTTCGCTTCAGCTTTTGTCAATCAAATAAGTGCCTTTCTGACATAAAAGCGGCCTGCAGTTAACGCAATTTATTACATCGAGCTTTAATCGACAGCAGAGCTAGCTCTCTGTCTTCAATTAATCATACCAATTAAGGAAACCGAGTCTCCATGCAACACGCTGCAGACCCTCCAATATGGGTAAGTTCTTGATTGTGCCTTTGTTTAATACTTCTTGGGTATAGAGCTAGAAAAATTATCGTATATTGCTTCTGCAAGCATTTCTCTTACTATTTCCGGGTGAAGTGAGCCATGGCCTTATGTGTTATTCCAGAGTATCAATGCTTTAGAAACTTCCCGTTCCAGAGAAGTGGCATGCGAATGAAAATATTTCTTGTATAGTTAAGAGGTGTGAGCTTAAGAATTGTAAAATCTTTTTCCGCTTGCTATGTTTGGTTATTTATTCTGTTTATTTAGAAGACTTCGATTTCGTTGTCCACAGATTGCAAGCGAGAATTACAATGTAATAAACTTTTCGGTTTATTTGCCCTTCAACAATATCGCAATTTGAAGCTAATCCAATTTACTTGGATCACTTTTCTTTCAGTCTGGATTGTCTTGCATTGTCACGTTTCCGTCAAATATACCCCAAATAATCACACACAAAAAAAGGTTAAAATAATAGAGAAGAAGGGTATAATTTAAATGACAATTTACGTAAATTACAGGAAAATTTGGCTCATAACGAAGTTCAACAGGCTCTCCTCCCAAGGATCTAAATATAATGCAAGCTCTTTTTCGTCTGTTATTTGAAGCGTTCAATCTCCTGTTCTTTGATTTTTTTTCTCTGCTCCTTTCTCTTTCTGGCCTCAGAAGTTTTAGATTTTGAGCCAATGTGGTAAGCACCCCGGTACTTAGCAAATGCTTTGTCTAAATCTTCAATCAAGCGATCAACATCCTTCTCGATACTAGATGTTACATAATAACGTTTGTCATTATTGAAGCTGTGATGGCAGCTCAGTCCAGTTTTGAGTTTACCAGTGTGGTGGGAGGGGGGGAAGGGGTTTTCATATACTCGCATGAGCCCACAATTCTATTGGGTTAACTGCCGGGCACCCACTTAATCAGTTTCAGTATCTGCATTGAGCAGAAGAAACTATCGCGAAAATCTCTGCACGAATTTAAGTATAAAAAATCTTCTCCCGGAAAAGAATGCGCGAAAAAGCCCAAAGCGGATTCAAATTATTCTCGGTTCCCTGGCAATTTAATGTCCACATGACAGTATGTTTTGAAAATTATAGGGGCAGGAGCACTTAAACTATACAGTCAAAAGTCGTTAGAGAGAACTTTGGTCGCCACGTTAATTATTTTTACCGTCAATGAATAACTACTTTGACGTCTCTTAATGCATTTAACACGAGGTGTATAGACAAAGGGTGAAAGGTGATTGAAAAATACATTGGAATTCCACTTCACAAGAGGGATAACAATATCAAGAATTTTAACGATGAACAGAATCACAGCTTTGTGATATTTATGATAATAAACAAAACTAGCAGCCACCTCAATTTGCTTCTGCAATAGATACTATATTCGTTACAGATTATCCCGTCCAGCGGAGCCTGGATCCGAGTCATCAGCTGACAGAGAGTGATATCAACGAAAGTCAGCTCCCGGAGCAGATTGGCCTTAAATGGAAAGACCTTGCTAGAGAACTAGGTTTCCGTCAGAGTACCATAAATATTATCGAAGAAGAAAAACGTCACATTACTAAGGAATGCTGCGTAGAATTTCTTGTACAGTGGATACATAACAAGGGAACAGACGCTACAGTTGGAAAATTAAAAGAGGCTTTAGAAAGGATAAAACTCAAGGACGTGGCTGAAAATCTGATCAGCGGTAAGCAAGAGAGAGATACCGAAGTTTCTGTTTTTTAAATGAGTATCATGTCAGTTGGCGAACGAATTGCAGGCCAATTTCTTGCAAATTAAGCATTTTTTGCTACTGGTGTGATCTTTCTGCTTTGACTGCTTAGAAGTGTCATAGTTTCTCACGGCAGTTCAATCAGTTCTACCACAGCCTCTAGACCCTTTTGTAACTGGGAGGCAATCTGGTAAGATATTCCTCTTAGACTGGTCATGCTCAACATTCATTTTTGTCTGTTAATAATTTGCTTTGTAGTTCTGTTTTTGAACAAGGGCGTTTTAATGCCCTCTGTAAATTATTTCCGATTTGTAGTAGTTGAGAGATCAAACTTCGTTTTTATATTGGCCAACCTGAAACCTGGGTTGATTGATCTAATTCCAAATAATGCGAGTTCCATCAAAAAGACTAAATAGCCACTCTTTGCATGCTTACAATCTGTTCACTTTGCTTTCCATGTTCGTCTTTGTCCACCAAAATGCTTCTTCTCAGCTCGCCTCATATAAAGTATAACTCATGAAAGTCTTGGATTCTAGATTGCACGCTGTGAATTCCAGATTTCTTGTCAGTCAGTGGAACTTGAAAGCCGGATTCCAATCGTTAACGGGATTCCGGTTTCTTTGTGCTGAATTACGGATTCCAAAGCCCAGAGTTCCAGTTTCCACTTGCAAAAATTTTCCGGAATACGGAATCAGGATTACCATAATTCTGGGAGTAATTCAGCCGTATTCACAATACGTACGAAGGAGCTGGGAGATTATCATTAATTAAATGCGCAGGATTTTAAATAGAATCGCATAATTGAATAAAATCTCGCACTCTGATTGGCTAACGAAGCGGGGTATTTGTATCGGTAATAGCATGATTTGTAGTGATATTTGGCATAAATACCATGAGTGATATTTCGAAATTGTTATACGTAATTTCACGAGCCGTTAGGAGAGTGAAATTTGAGACAATTTTGAAATATCACGAGTGGTATTTATGCGAAATACCACGTACAAATCATGCTATTATTTGTTTATACTACTACCCACAAAAGGTTTGTAATTTTCACATGTAGGTATTTCAAATTAAGCCGAAATACCACTGCTCTAAGCCAATCAAATTGCAGAAATTTCTCATGTAGTAGTATAAAGCGTGGAATTGCGAGTTGAAAACGAGGCTAAGTGATATTGTTTCGCACTTACATATACTTAAAACAACTATCGTCACATTGTAACACAACAACTGAAAAAACGTTTTTCTACAATGTCATGTTAAATTAAAATGTTTTCAAAACCATTGTCAGCTTTTGAAGAGCCAAAAACAAACAAAAGCGTTTTTCAACGAAATGACAGTTCTGACAGTTGACTGCTTTCTGGAGCGCGCGCTCAAGATAAAAACAAACAATATTATTGCTGTTTCTTCTTCTTCTTCTTCTTCTTTTTTTTTTTTATTCAGTTTTGCGATTCAGGGAAATCCATTACCTGACTCGTGAATTCCGCGTTAAATTGCACTTGAAAACAGATATCTCGGTTTTCGCGTGCGATTTAGCGCGGAATAGACCTTGTCACGGTTTTCGACGCCATCTTGACGAGAAGGCAAACGCGTGAGAAATTACAGTGTATGTATGAGAATCTAGTCTCGAATAATTTACGTAAAACGTCTGTTTTGAAAAAAATATGATTTGTAAACTAAAGCTTCACTCTTAAGGATTCTACTGAAAACATTTGAGGGTGTTACATGCGCTACAAGACCTAGAACTATTTTTTAAAATGTCTATACATTTGTCTGTAAAAATTTCCCGGGAAAAATTGCAGACAAATATATGGAAAATCTAAAGCAAGCTTCTGGAGAAATTTAAGCACAGTAACAGCCCCCAAAATTTGTTAGTAAAATCCTTTGCTGTGCAACTTTAGTTTACAATTCATATTTTTTTCCAGAACAGCCATTTTACGGAAACCCGCGACATTGCATTCTCATACAAACACTGTAATTTCGCGCGTGTTTGGCTACTTGTCAAGATGGCGTTGAAAACCGTGACAGGGTCTATTCATGAGTCAGGTAATGAATTTTCCTATAAAATTCTGTATGCATGCTGCAAGTCATTTTTAGCAGCGATCTTGCTTTAATACCATTTATATTTTATGGGTGATTCCAAAACATGGCACTTCTGTTCCCTAAACACTAAAAAATACCTTTGGATGCTACAGCATAAGGCAGCTCGCTTGCTTGACTTAACCATTGTGACTGTCACAGATATCGGCGAATGATCATGTTTCAGTTTAAAGTAACAATGTGAAGTGTTGTTGACGACTCAATGTCATTCTTATTCTGATCAGGACTCGGCTGCTGCTGCTGTCAAAGATTAAGAACTGTGAATACTGAAGAATCAAACACGCCATATCAGGTAGGTTATTGTCAATTCTATGGTGGTCTAGACTTGCTTTATAGAGAGAGTTCAAGAAAAGCGTTTTTAACTAATAGGTGAAGCAACGCCAGTAGCTTAAAAGGGACATTTTGCTGGAATTTGTTGGTACAAGTTATCTCTCCCGCACAGTAGATCCGCGGGCCAAATGGCAAGAATGATATAATTTACAGCCCACCACAGCGCCAGAAGGACCTGAAACTTACGATTCCTGCTTCTCCTTCTTTTTTTAGATCAACAGATGTGATAGGATGATTTGTGAACTGAGTGACAAACTAAGAGCCAGCTTAAAAGAGGTAAACAAAATTATATCGTATACATGGGAAGAAGTAAGAGAGTGACCGGCCAAAGAGTATAACATGATGTTTCCGCTTTTCTTCCAGTTTAACAAATGAAATGACGCAATACATGTGAACTGATAGATGAAACAAGCGAGCAACTTCGATGTAGGCTGTGTCCACACGAATCCAGACTTTTTTGAAACTACATATTTTGTATTCAAATTCGTTTGGAAGGGGCCTTACACCGCTCTGGGGAGCGGTCTCAAAACAATGTGGTTTTGGTGAGCGCATTCGTTGGTTTCGTGTGGGCAGAAGGCCGATTCGTGTAAAAAGTGTGCAGTTTCAAAAATGTCAGGATTCGTGTGGACATGGCCTTACCTCACGGGAAGAGGAATAAATATCGCTAATAGCAATTGATTAGTTATGTTGATAATTCATTTGCTGAATAGCAGATTCCTTACCAGTCCTTTTTCACTTAATGAAGGTTCGTTTTAGTTTCTTTTGTTTGTTTGTTTGTTTTTTTTGGTAGGTTTCAAAAGTGGAAGCCCAATTCAAAGCCCTAGAGTTAGAGCTTTCAAAAGAAAGACAAATGCGCCAGGACAAAGAACAAGAAGTGGGTCAACTACTGTTTTATTCCTCTAGTCATACCAGATACTTCTTTAACCGTCTCCGAACACGGTTGAATGACTGTTTGACGTGTACTTTATTTTTGCTGATTCTTGGTCTTGCAGGTTTCACGACTGAGCACTAGAATTGCGGAATTAGAAGGAGAGCTTTCAATTGCCAATCAAAAGGGCCATGATGAGAACGACACTGAACAACATGTGAGTCAACTGTCTGTTTAGTTTTAAAACAACTGCGCGCGAGGCTGTGGCACTTCTTGTTTTTATTTCTTCTTCTAGTTGTGTATCTGTCAAATTTCAATATGCATTTTGCACTAAGTCGTACCTCAGAAATCCAATAAATAGGAAACGGGAAAAAGCAAAAATTCCTTCGAGTCTACGTTGAGCTAAAATAAAACAACCCAAGCACTAAGGGGTTAACTTGGTTATTTCCTCTTATTTAATACACCTGCAGATTAGTTTACTGTTAAGAAAATGTAATATAATGTTTCTGAATATCCGGGTCCTATATACACAGACCCGTTGAAATATGGAATTAACAAGACATTATTCCCTGAATTCTTACGCGTTCAATTTTTCAATCAATATTCAGCAAAGTGATCTCTCGACTGATTCAGACCAGTTAGAGCATCGCGTTGATGTTCAGTTAAGAAACATCAACGACCAGCTTCACACATACGTCACATCCCCCCTGCAAGTACAAGAAGTGAAACAAGATCAACTAAGAACAGCAGTAAAACTTGATCTGCTGACAAAACTTAGCGAGCGGTTACAAGAGCTTTACACGGAGGCTCTAGGTATGGTTAAAGAAGCCGGTAAATGTAGCGAAGATTTAAGGAAAGACTTCTATGACCTTGCCTACCACGGGCTCAGGGCGGAACATTATGAGCTGGTCCACAGAGTCAAGGATCTCAAATCTGCCCAGCAGGAGATGTCTGAGGAGGAAAAGAAGGAATTTGACAAGCTGCAATCATATCAGAGGGGCAGACAAAGCCAGGTCGACCAATTAGATAAACTATGGAGATATCTCTTTACCCCGGTATGTATAATGTTAACTATCCTCCAACATAACCAAATTAACGGTTTGACTTTTATTTTATTTTATTAAGCATTAATAGTTTTAGGTCCTGTTAAAGAAAAAAAAAACAACAAAAAAAGGACACTGGAAGACTGAAAGGCGGACACTTTTAATAACTTGTAATTCATTTGGCGTAATGGAAGCTTTTTCCAAAAGGCGAACAAATCTCAGAACACTACTGAGGATGGGTTGAGTCGAATAAGAATTTGACTAATAATCTCTTTTTCCTTGGCCCTTAAAATCCACACTTTAATGCTTCAACGAGGCCTTAAAAATTGTGTTCTTTTTAAGGAACACAAATAATTTAAAGAATTTATTCCTGCCTTTAATAGAAAGGAATTCCACCTTCGAATACGACTCCAATACAGTGAAGTGAAGAATACCGGAAAAGTTTCGGGCGATATTCATTCCACAGAAAATTACCAACATTTAAGTGCATAATTGCCGATTGTTTGCGAAAAAAGACTTCTTCTTATTTTTTCAGAACAGTTAAGGAACTGTTTTTCTTTTCAAGAACAAACCCAAAACTGGTATTGCTTAGGAGTCTCGAGCTAGATCGAACAATTAGTATCCTCCATATTACAACTTCAATTCATTTAGCAATGAAACAGCTGTGAGCGTAAATTCTCCGTTAACTTGCAGCCTGATCGCCGCCAGAAGACAGCAATGTCAGCAGATCCTGTGGGTCAGAACAAGCCAAGAGACGGTAAAAAGGTGGATAAAGATTACTTTAATTTAGTTTAATTCGAAAGAAATTTGCACAGGGTAGCAGAAGGAATAAAAAAAATTGCACGGCCTAATGGTCATCCTTCAGGCGTGCTTCACGATTCGTTTATTCATTCGATTGTTTGTTCGTTCGTTCCTGCATCAATCCATTCACTCCTTCCTTCCTTTCTTTCCTCCTTCCTTCCTTCATATATTTATATTCATTCGTTTATAACTAGTCAGCCACTCGTTCATCCATTCAATTCAGTGGCCTCGCAACGTGAAGACACAAAAGTTGTTGTTGTTGTTGTTCTTCTTCCTCCATTTTATCGTTTTACATGACAACGAGTCTAATTATTAATGTCTGAAGAATGACTTTGTATACGTTTGCAAGGCCACGAGATACACTGACCCTGGCGACGTATGCAGGAAACCTAAAGGGCGTGGAGAAGATAGAGGATCTGAAACGTCTTCAACTTCCAACGATGGCAAACCAGACGAAGAGTCACGTTTGAATGTAAGTATTCCCTCATTTCATAATTTTTCAGTACCTCTCCCCTCCTTCCCCCGTCTTGGGCAGACCACCCCTTCCTTTCATACTTTATTTGAGCCCAGAGTTTTCTAAATAGAAGGTCCCTCCAAGAGGCTTTTGACGATTTATCAGCAACTTGTGTTCAAAACTTGCATGTCAGACTTTGTAAGGTTGCTAGGCTGACAATTGCATGCGCAGTGACTGTATCATCGAATTTCTTTTGTCTGACGATCTCAGTATACTATTTGCTCCACTAACCTAGTTTTCAGGACTTTTCAAAAATTTTGGCAACTCATCATAAACTTTTTGTGAGCGACAATTTTTCTGATCGACATATGCGTGCAAGGGGAGAACAAATTAAGTCACGAAAGAGGTTCCAAAACTGAAATTTTCGTCATTTTTTGTCTTTTTCCTCTCCATGCTCCTCATGCACAGGAGCCATCACCTGATGATACTTTTCCCCCATGTTCACACGGTGTGAGTCGTGATCTTACAAGTTTTGATTGCATGAGCTTGTGCACTGTCCGCAAACAGTAATGTTGTTTCTATTAGCACATTACTTAGTGTTTTGGTTTGAGCTCTAGTCACTCGATTATTTTTTTGTTTCATATCACTGAATGCACAATACAGTCCACTAATAAGCGAACATTTATTAAGCGCGGTCACCCTCCTATTAAACGGTAACGTAACGAGATGTATCGTACTAGTGGTCTTTTACTTCCTTTCTTTTGGCGCAAGATGATCGGGTAGAAACACTTTCAGGTCAACTTGTCGTGGGATACATCTACTTTCTTGGATAACTCAGGTTTTTCAAACCTGTATTACACTGTAAGGTCATTCATCTGAAATGGATCCTACAGTGAATTTTTTTTTCAAACTTTCACTACGTAAAATTTAGTACATATAAACTTCAGAAATCAAATAAAAAATGGGGGTCTCCTTGCTAACTATTAAGATATAAAGGATGCAAACGCCCCCATCCTGAGGGTATTTTCGCCAATGTGCTTTCGCAATTTGCAAAGTCGAAAAAAAAGATTCAGACATGCAAGTAACATAAAAAAGGTTGATGTAGATAGCACTCTTAGATGTAAGCAAGTTTGTGATCTTTCATGAGTTTCGCTGCTCTCTTCAACAACCTCAAAATCCCCTCCCCCCTCCTTTTCTTTAAAACCTCTTCGCTGATATCTCTCGTCGTTTAATTTTTACTTCTTTAACCCTGCGGAAACAGCCTCGTTTGTCTCTTGGCCGATCTCCGAGGGAAATGGCCGCCATCTTGGAAATGTTGCAAATTACTCGCAATTAGGGTTGGTGTCATGCGCAGAGCAAAACAGGGACATGACCTTAAGAGGTCGGGTAAGCCGTTCCCCAAGGGTGCCCGCTTATCAAAGGTTTCACTTAATACTGCCGATTTTCGGTGTTGGTTTCTTGGTAGGCCTTGGTCACTGAATACTTGTGGCGGAGCTCTCCCACGCGAAGCGCGCGCAGCGGAGCACCATGGGTAAAAAAATTGGGTAATCTATGCATCCAAGAAATTTAGGTTGTGAGAAAATCGTCCGTTCGGAGTACGTCCGTACGTAAGTTCACCCCTTCATGTAAGCTGAAGTGAAATTTTGCATTTCAAGTACCAGCGCGTTTCGGCAGTAAAATCGCGTAGCCATCTGGACTTTTAGAGATTAAAAACAACGACAACGAAGCCGATCCTTTCTTTCGACTTAATTTTAAAGTCTTCATTGGCGTGGATAACAGTGAAAGAGCTAGAGCCAGAGATAAAAAATGCAAAGAAGACCAATTTCGTTGAAGAATAACATGAAAATTTTATAGTGGCTGTGAGAAAATGAGAAATGCTAGCGGCCACCAAAGTAAAAATGAGCGGCAGCAAAAAAAAGTCAACAGGACCACATACAAAATTTCCGCCATAAAACGTGTAACTAGGAAGTTTTTGGGAGTTTCACGTTGTCGTCGTGCAAAACAGCGGCAAAGAAATGTACAAAAAAGTGTGCTACAAGTGAAAAAAAGTTGTTTTTGTTTTTGCTAATTAGACCTATTTTTTGTTTTTGTTTTTTTTTTGTTTGTTTGTTTGTTTTCATTGCCGTTGCCGTCGCCGTCGCCGTTTGGTTAGCATTACACGATTTTATATTTTGTTTCAGTAAACTATAGATATTAACGAGAGCTTCGCTTTTAGCCCTGGCTAAATCTATATATTATTTTGGTGTTCTGACTAGAGTGAAAGGTGGAGCATTGCTAATGCCCTAACCAATGAAATCTAAGGAGAAAGATAGGGGAGGGGGCGTTAACCACGCACTTTTTAGCCATAATTATATTAATACCACCACATAATTATTATATTTATGTGTTTCAAACTGCGCTGTCTCAGAGATATTTGAGCGAAGAGATGATATCAAAAAGTTCGAAAGACATGAATATATTGAAATAACCCATGATCAGATTCTCTTTTCTTGTATAGCTAAGAGCTGGGCAAAACAGCTTTAAAAATCGCTTAATGTTACATAAACCATTATCTTTAGCTTGAGGGAGATAATCGTTACCTGGATGCCTTTCTAAAAATTGACTGAATGTTTTATTTTTCTTTAGCTGAGGAAAATGAAGTCAACGGTCGACTCAGTCATTCAAACCTTTTCTAAAAAGAAGGACAGTGGCGAGAAACAGATGCGGAATTGCTGATTATTATTTGTACCAAGAAAAATGAGAATCTATATTGGTTCTGGTTTTCAGGTTCATTTTATTTAACTCGGTAGAATATGCACATTTTTGTAGAGAGACATTTTTGTAACGTCAGTTAGTCGAGATATCAAGAAGTTAGACTTGTCGATTACATTACAAACTTGTACAAAGTTAGAACGTTTGACCCTCTTGCAGCGAACATTCTCTCTTTGTGTTACAGGCTCGAAATAGGGTTCCGTTTCCGCAGGAGAGAAATTACTATAAGAACCCAGATTTAACGTCACTTTGCTAGTTCAAGAATAACAATTTCTTCGGATTTCATTAATTGCTAAATTTTGCGATTTTTTTAAAAAATATGTGTTATATTCGCACTTGCAAAATTAGGGAAGGGTGAATGTCTTTAATCTTGTGCGTTTAAGTGTTTTTTTTTCTGCAAAATTTAGTAAATAATTACGATGATAATAATTATTATTAGTACAATAATAATAATAATAATAATAATCTTTGTTTATTTTCACCATTCTCAGATTTCTGTGGATTACAGGTAGGGTCAGGCAAAGACTTAAAAACATTCAGTTATACATATAAATATATAAATATAAAAACATAAATATAATAAAGTAGTAACATGGTAGAAATCGCATACACATTATTACACACTATCGATATACGATAATGATAATAATAATAATAATAATAATACGACAATGATAATAATAATAGCGTATATATATCATATTAAAGTTGATCAAATCCAGCAAGGCAACAATAGATTAAACAAATAGACCCGATTCCAATGTATTATTTTTATTACAGACCCGATTTCAATGTTTTAGACTTCTTATTATGTAGCTATTTCATCAATTTTCATCATCAGAGGTTTAATTCTCTAAATCGGGTGAAATTCAAGCGGCGACTAATCCGCAGTAACGAGGCTCGGCGACCACAGACGACTTATAATTTCATCTTAGTGATTTAGAGAACAGACCTGTTGAGCTAGGGTACAATAAGATGCCTGCTTTTTTTAAAATTATTTATATACAAGTGTAGCGTAGCTAAGTGGTCAGAAATCGGATGTGCAGTCCGTACGGACCGAGTCCCGCTCAGACTACTCTTTTGTTCTCAGTACATACAGCTATTTCGACGAGAAAGATTGTCAGAAAAAATGTGCAGGCGACAATCACGAAATGTGATATGGGATAAATATATCAATACACTGTTCCTGACACTGTCGCTGTTGAACCTGCCCTTGTTGCTTTCCTTTAACACTCGCAAACATAAGTCCTTGACCTCTTGTGTCTTTCTTTCAAATTCCTTCAAATAAAAACTCAAAACCACCCACAGTACCATTCTGAATTGTCAAGTACACTTTTTCCGACAACCTTCCTCGAAATTTCTGTAAACCGACTGAGTTGAAATTCCCGACCATGCTTAAAAATGGCCGACTGGTCGGCCTCGTGCCGCTATTTAGCAATCTTAATTGCAGTATTTGTTTATGCTATTTGCGCAGCCTTACTTATCGGGGTCAACAAGGGTATGGGTATATGTTGTTGTGGTTCAATTTTATACTTGGTTCAAATTTTATTTCCCTTTTGTTTTTGGGTATTGTAATGTATGATAATGAGTTTGAAACAAAGGAAAATAACATTTAAACCAAGGATAAAATTGAACCACAGCATATACGTTATCTTCCTAATGATTTCGAGTAACAGTATATATACTACGTTTCTTTAAGGTTTGGACATATGTTGACAAAAAATTGGAGGAGAATTTCGGTTTATTGACTAGCCTATTTCAGGTATAATGATAGCAACGTAAAGACGCCACTGCCTATTTTACTTTCGGTGGTTTTTTTCGGCATTAGAGTTGTTCCAGTATCCGTGTCGATGTCAGCCTGCGCCACAGACGGAACCAAATTTCTGGTTACGTCCGACTGCCAAAGCGCCAAAATCCTCGGCCCCCACCTGTGTACCAGGGTTTGAGTACGCGCACACGCCATGATTGGCCTGTTAAAAAATGCCATTGTTGATTTGCCAACCAGGTTGAAGGGAACATTCTCTCTTGTAATTCGTTGTCCCGTTGGAAGCCCAAAACAAAGATATCGGGGCTGCTTTGTTACTAGCCGGGTTTGGATACGTCTGCGAAGCAGGCTACGTTGATGCTGAACAACTGTGATTTTTACCAAATTAAAACACTATAAATAAATTCACTAGAAGGCTTTATTTACAACTGATTAATAAATTTTATCAGTTTTATCCCTTCTTTTCATCCCTCTGGATCTGGCTAAGTTAATTTCAGCTGTGTGAGTTTATCGAATCGAACTAGGAAATTCTCGCACAGAAAGGCCGTACAGTAACCGACTGCGCTAGTCGTTGCTCCAACATTTAAACAAACTGGACTTGGCAATTCGGCTGTCACAATAGCGACCTTTATTATTCATTCAAAATATTTCTCCGTTTCTGATTGGATAAAATCCTATGCATACAATTCATTATTGCCAGCAGCTATTGTAGACCAAATTTGGAAGAATTTTGCGGTATGTGAACTCATGACGTCAATCGTTCAGGAAATTGCCAGATTATTGAACGGTTAACCGAGAAGACCTAGGGACGAAATTGAGTTGTTTTGGTAGTGAATGCAAAATGGTGGAACATTTCACTCGTTTCACGAGGAATAAATAGGCGAACTATTGGCTAAAAACATAGCAAGAACTGCAAGGAGACAACTCGACGGATGACATTTGCTAATTGGAAAATATTTGCAGGACTGAAAAACCCTTTATCTCCTTAACTGGCCGGTAGAACATGCACTATGGAAAATAAACTTAAAATCGAGGGAGGTAAGCGTGTTTTAGCCTTTTTTAAACAAGAAATTATTTGGAATGAGTAATGAAACGATTATTAGATGATTACAGTAGCTCTCAGACCTCTTCAGGGGTAACGTAGCACACAAGTAAGTATGAATCGTTTTATCGAATGGGTCATTTTTGTTCCACAAGGAATAACCATAACCTGTTTATCTCAAGAAGGATAGATCTTTATACACATGCAGGTAAGCAGGTACCTCATTTTGGAAATTCTGATCAATCCTGCCAGAGTTACACACAAAACCCCTAGCATTCTGGGAAAATCCGCTGCCAATCGCTATTTACCAATTTACTCCTTCCACGATTCCACAGGGAAGAAAAACGATAAACTGTACAAAAAAACTAGATAAAAAATGAAAGGCAAAAGAAAATGGGACAGCCGTTCCGTCAAGACCTTATTTTTGTAGAGCTAATATTAAGCAGTTCATTATCCTTTTTTGAGGACCAACAATCTGGAATTCTTTGCTAGTTATACTTACCAGCTGCCTCTCTTCCATATTTGTTTTTAAAAAAATCTGAAAAATATCTCATTGATAGTCCTTCTGTCACTTAAGTTTTACGTTTTCTGCACACTCTGCAATCAAGTAAGCCTTTGTAATATAGCTTAAGGAAGCCTATCAATATAGCTCCCAGCTTCTTTAGGCTTCCTTGTCACAACAACTATATTTTATGACGAAAAAACAAATAAATGAATGAATGAATGAACTGTGCGCCTAAATTGCAAGTGTTACGCAACGTTGGCAGCAATAAATGAGTTAAAAATCATCATTTTTGGCTCAATTATTTCACTTTGTTAGTTATACTAAAACAATTATCCACCATCCACTTCAGTGTCGGTTGCAACGCGGTGGCTTCGCGGCTTGGTAAATTGTGAACCGCTAGGCCATTTACACAGGATTTCACGTCTCAAAACAATACAATGATGGCCAATGTTGTTGTCCCAAACCATTCCCTCTTGTATTGAAACTCTTTTGTTCCCATAAATTTGCACAACTGACGGCGATCGACTCAGTAAGAGGTTTATTACTAACAGCGTAAGCTGTTAAATAAAAATGCTGACGTCATCAGAAATGGCGCTTTCATGGAGGATGCGCGAAAAGGCTCGAGTTACTACATGACCAACAGGACGGGGGCGTAGTGGATGCGAGTTACCAAAGTACTACTTCAGACCTTGTAGTCACTTGAGCCTTTTTCGTGCATCCATGGCAACCTCGTTCCCAGGGTTCTCTCTCTTGCTTCAACCCAGCTGGTCACACGGCTCCCAAAATCTGAGAGCCAAAACTGAATACGGGAGGGGAACAAAAGTAAATAATTGTCGCTATGACAAGAGTTACTCTATGGGAGCCCGAAATGAGTTTGCCACCTCGTTTATTATCAACTGATGGTGCGGTTATTTGGAAATATCAACAACATCCAAAAAAACAGTATTGCAAAAATGCAAGAGAGAGAAGCCTGGCAACGAGGTTTGCTATTCACTTGGTATATCGTGTACCAGCCGATAAATTTGCTAAAGCGGAAATAACACAATAATCTTTAAACTGCCGTCTGGGTGGTGCTTTATGTTATGTAAACCTGATTTTTGCATTAACTTTTCCTCTTCGCAATTCATGAATCCGCACGCACGTGTGGAGTATGCAAATTTACGAAAAGCTAATTTTGCACTTGCAAATCGAGCAAGATTTTATCCTGTTGACAGGACGGTGCGAAAATCTTTGTACAAGTACAAACGCTATAAAAAAAAAGTAACCTGTTTTGCCTTCCAAATTAAGTGTTATCGTAACTAGCAGAAAGCAACGCACTATTTTGAAGAGGGAATCTTCTTCCTACCCCAGGTAGTATCTCATGATCTTCCAGTCTGCAAGATTTAGTGAAGGACCTATTAGAAGACCTACCTTCGCCGCGCAATTTATTGCGCACACATTTCCTCTTGACCAGTCGCAACCAGCGTTCTTTCTCGAAGCAAGAGAGAGAACCCTGGGAACGAGTTTGCATCCATGAAAGCACCATTTCTGATATAGTCCGGTCTCTTTCAACAAATTATTCTAAGAGTGTTGGAGTTGATATGCCTGGAGGACTTTGTTACAAGTAAACTTCCGGGAGTATCTTTCTATTGATCTTTTGCTTGTGTGCAAGGACAAAATAAAATCAAATTGGTCGTCGGGATTAAAGGACTGACGCACGTTGCCCGGCCACTCTCGGTCAAGTCACTTCGCCCTTTTCAGAACGTATTCAAAAGCTTGAAAACAAGACTCATGTGACTGGCAAACTAAAAATAATCAAAGCAATAGAATAACGGGAAAAACCCCATGTACCCTTGACCTCTCATGACAATAAGAAAGCGAGTGCATGTCTGACTTAAGCATAGAGCGGGCCTAAAAGGGTAGTCATATTCTAGTGTACTTAGCGGGTCTGTAGGGCTCTCTTCATTGCTTCCATAGTTGCCTCTTTTGCTCACAGTTGCAGAACTAGAAGTGAACATTTATACGGGAACTATCAGCCAACTGTAAGAATTCCTATAGTTGACTCTGATACGACCGGCTATGCAAATTTTTGCAAGGTAATGAAAACTACCTTTATCTAATTATTTCGTTTCTTCA